CAATAGGCTGAATTCAGACGATATTAGACAAGGATTCTTGACTATTCCATCAACTCAGCTGTTCCCTTTCCCAACATAAACCCAAGTCTTGGGTTTCAACCAGTGCAGTTGTGTGAACTGAGCATAAATCCCATCTAAAAGATTATGTTCCAACATTATGGATTTAAGGATCTTTGGTTTAAAAAAAAAAAAAAAATCCCCCAGAGTCACAAGATAGGAAAAAATTAAAAGGAAATCCAAACCACCCAAGGCTTCCTTGTTATATCCCCACCTCTGAGGCCACATGGAAAGAGCTGCCGTACAAAAGAGAAAAAAGGGACAGAGAAGAGCTTGCAGGATAAGAGATCCAGGTATCATGTGTAAATATGCCTGGATTCCGGGGCAGAGAAGTAGTACAAGGTGCTTTTCTTCCAGCATTCCTTGCTGGAGCTATGTAAGCCAGCAGTCAGGAAGTCATGTCTCAATCTTCTAGGGAGAAGAAAAATCACCAGAGAGGGAAAGGGAGTGTAAGATGATCAAATCCCAGAGCCAACATCTGATGAGTGAACGCGCGCGCGCACACACACACACACACACACACAGATGACAAAGTAATCCCACGTAAGCATTAGCTCACAGCAATCTATCACCACCTGTTTGTACAGGAACACAAGGGTCACCCTAAGAGAACAAGGTCAAATGGCTGAGATCTTCCATTTGAGGGGGGGAGAGGAAGAAGGGGGGCAGGGGATGAATCACATGTTTATGGCATTTACCCCATAGAGAAGTAAAATCACTCAGCTAGATAAAATGTAAACCATGTGTTTCTGAAGCCTTGCTGAGAAAAACCATTTGTAAGCTAAGTACTAGTTATCTGCAAGGCAGGAGGCGGCAGAGGGCACTTGCTGATGAAAGCATCTGTCCATACCACACCTTCCTGGGGTTTTACAAGCAGGCTGACTACTCCACGAGCATTTCTGCAGTGAAATGAAACGGACTTCTCAGTATTTAGCGAGCAAGAACCCCCTCACCATAAACAGAAAATAAAGCAGCTTTTCAAATGCTTGTAGTGTGGAGAATATACTTCATTAAATTAGCCTAAAGTGAAAACTTCGCCACTTTTTAATGTGAGAACATGGCGATGTTGTAATTGACGGAGATTATTGCAAATGTGATCCTTCTGTATTGGCGAATGTGGGTCCAATTAGGAGACTGTCCAGTGTTTCTTTGGTTTGTGGTATTTATAGTAAAAACCCTGGGTGCTTTGAACAGCACAACATGAAACTTTTAGGCAACCTATCAATGAAAACAGCATGAAATGATCCAGTTTTCTACCGGAGGAGCATAACCCACAACCAATTTTTAAAAAAAAGCAACCAGCTTCGTAAGTTACCATCCATGCTGCTATTAAAAATATGGCAACAAACGTAAGAAACCCTATTAAAATGTTCATATCCCCAATGAGCAACAAATGATTTCGAAAAGTACATTTGTGCTGTAAGTTTTCTGTGTGTTAACGTGATACAGACCTAAACACACACAACACCCTGTAGGCAGCTTAACCAATGTGGATCATGTGTGTTTGCACCTTCGTCCAGTCTCAACTTTTAGCAGCTTTCTCTCCAGCCTCGCCCCGATCTGAATATTCCAAATCTGTTTCTTCTTCAGGAAGTACAAATCTGGAATTTGCTGCAGGGTCCTTTTTCTTCAATATTTAACAACACAGACAGAACTTGGAGCCAGCACATGCCCTTACGGGATAAGCCAGAAGTGTAGATCTAGCTAATATACAAAACGTCTCCATCACAGTCATCTTGGGTCCATAAGAAGTTTCTTCTGGTTTACAAAATTGAAGTCTGACCTTTCGCATTCCAGGCACTGCATCACGCAATACTACGGTATGGAGGGGGAGGGGAGAGGGAGTCCTTCCGCAGGGCCTGCGAGCCTTCTGGCGTGCTCCTTAACGATGTCCCGTGTATGCCTTGAACCAGGAGGTCACAGAGGCGGCAGCAGATGAGATCATTCCACCCGTGCTGCTGCTGGCTATGGGCAGAGAGGCCTGCGTGCTCTGGCTCTGTAACATCTCGACCGGTTGAGAGGGGATATCGCAGAATCGAGGGCTTGGCAGATTCTCCCAGTCTGTCCCTAAGTCAGTCTCCTCATCGCTGACGTGCTCTTCTCCACTCTCGTCTGTTTCGCCAGCGGCCCCGGGATCCACAAACTCCATAGAGTCCTCGAGATCTGCACTAATTTCAAAAGGCCCAGACCTGTGAACACAGCGACACAATCCCATCAGTGCCCTCAGTGGAAAAAAGTAGAGGAAAGACAGTGGGAGGGAAGGGGGTGGCAGCAACAGCTGGCAGCCCCAAGTGAGGCAGGGGAGGAGAGAAGGACAAGCAGCTGCAGCCCTACACGCAGGAGGCAGGAGGGAGACAGGATGGCAGAGTGAGTGGGATCCCACTTAATCGGTTAACCAGTTAAACCTAAGCTTTAACCCATTAACCGGGATTTTACATCCCTGTGCAGGACAAACTTACAGGTGGAACTCAGGAGCTCATAGTTATTGTTCAAAATGTATTCACTCAGCCTGATTATTCTGTTCCATACGGCCACACAAGAAGCGTGGGTTTATTTTCTGCCCCCATTTTGACCTGAAAAGACCAGGAATGGCCCTCTAGCTAACATCTCTGGCCTGGTGTACACAGGGCTTCCCGCAGACACGCACTCTTAATCCTGGCATTTCCTAACTTTGTAACCTTTTAACCTTCATGTGCTTTTCATGTAGTTTCTATTAAACAATTTCTAGGATTTTTAAGAAAGCAAATGGAAAAAAAACCAACCAAATTCCATCTTGATGTGTGAGAAGCACTGAGGACTCCCTTATGGTTCATTAACAAGGTTACACCTCTCAATCATCTTTTCAATAAATGAAATATTGATTTATGTCTCTCGTTGTAAGGCATTTGCTAAAACCTTCAGCTAATGTTTGGCTCTTTTCTGAACTCTCTCCAATTCTACGGCACCCTTTAACAATGTGGATACCAGAACTCTATGTGCTATTCCTGTGTTGGTCTCACCAATGTTGCAGCGAGAGAAAATCACCTCCCTTCTCCTATTCACTACCTCTGTTCATATAGCCACGGGATGGCTTAGCGGCCTTTCTGGCACAGCCTAGCACCAGGAGCCCTCAAACAGGAGTTTTGTGAGCAAGACACAAAAAGTCATTCTTCTGCTCTACTCTGTGCTGATAAGGCATCAACTGGAGCACTGTGTCTAGTTCTGGGCATCACATTTCGAGAAATTGGAGAGAGTCCAGAGAAGAGCAACAAAAATGACTAAAGGTCTAGAAAACATGAGCTATGCGGGAAGACTGAAAACTGGGCTTATTTAGTTTAGAGAAGACAGAGGGGACATGATAGCCGTTTTCAGGTATCTAAAAGGGTGTCACAAGGAGGAGGGAGAAAACTTGTTCATCTTGGCCTCTGAGGATATGACAAGGAGCAATGGGCTTAAACTGCAGCAAGGGAGGTTTAGGTTGGACGTTAGGAAAAAGTTCCTAACTGTCAGGGTGGTTAAACACTGGAATAAATTGCCCAGGGAGGTTGTGGAATCTCCATCACTGGGGAGATGTAAGAGCAGGTTAGACAGACACCTATCAGGGGTTGCTTGGTTCTGCCGTGAGGGCAGGGACTGGACTTGATGACCTCGCGACGTCCCTTCCCGTTCTAGTGTTTTGGATTCTATATTCAGTTGTTTATCCACTGTGACCCTACAGTCATTTTCAGGGTCATAGCTTTCCAGGTTACAGCCCCTGCCTTTCTATAGTTGTGGTCTGCTTTCCTTGTTCTTAGATATGGGAGGGAACATATTTCCCAATAAGGTCAGGTTTCACAGATTAGAAGAATGGAGAGAGGCTTTAGAAGTCTCGCTCTCTGAATACTGGAGTGTGAAGCATCCATAACATCCAAATAAAATCAGAATAATTTTTAATGGACCAAGTATAATTTTCTTTTATCTCAATAAGACTGAAGATTTTTAGGTAAGACACAGTCTGTACCTCCAGATGGAGTGAGAAAAATATATATAGGAAATCAACTCTGCTCCGTTACAGTTAAACTGTTAAAAAAAAAAAAAAAAAAAAAAAAGGTAGTATGCACAGACTACAGTGATTCGATGTTTGCTGCAGCATCTGCTACGTTAATGGAAGAGGTTGTTAGAAAGAAATAAAACGCGGTAGAATTTGAAGACATGAATTTTTCAAAATGTGCATGTTGGTTGGAAGATCCCCTGACTCTGAGAAGTTGAGTGTCATGTGGAGTTTGGGTAAAGGTTGTTTGTATTGCCGGACTATGTGGGGAGAGGAAATCCTAGAACTGGAGTGGCCAAGATGCACACTGCATGGAAAAAGGCAGGAATAACAGCAGAGCCATGGAGAAGAATGGCAAGGTGGATCCACGTAGTGGCAGACATATTCTAGTGCAGTGTTTCCCAAATGTTTCCCTGGGATTCTGCGAAGTGAAAGTAAGGTTTCCGCAAGAACTTGATCACTCTCTCCCCCCACAAAGTGGCGCGCAAAGATGCCAGCTCCTTCTCTGGTTTCCTGCGAGCTTTCAGACACCTCCCTTTCCCCATGTCCGGGTGGTGGGTTTTTTTTTTTTTGCTTGACAAAATTTCTCCCTGGCTGTAGGGGTTCCTTGAAATTCTTCCAAGTTTAAAAGGTTTTCATGGCCAAATAAAATTGGGAAATACTGCTCTAATGTAAGCACAGTGCGCTGAAGCCCAGAAAACAGAGGCTCTATAACATACAGGTCTCCAAATGCTATCCTCCCCCTTTTCCATACCGGAACCATCTTGGCTGCTTCCGGTTTGCTGGGTCAGCACCTTCCACAGCTGCAGAGGAGCAGGATCAGCCCCTTACAACGATTAGGGATATAAAATCCCGATGAATCAGTTAACCAGTTAAACGTTAGGTTAACTTAATGGGATCCAGCCACAGGGCTGTGGCTGCTGCTGTCACTCCAGTCCCGCTGCCACCGCCGGCAGCACGATGCTCCCAATCCCGGGCTGATGCTACCGCCATCTCCCAGTCCCTCTGGCGCAGCCCTCTGCCCGTAGCAGGCTGTGAGCAGGGAGCTGCTTCCACGCACTGGTTAATCAGTACCTGGTAAGCACTGCCCAGTAAAGGCCAGGGAACCAGTTAACCATTCATATCCCTAATAATGATACTAACCATGACGATAAAAGTCAAACCTTTAGACTTAAAAAAAAAAAAAAAAAAAGTCCACATTATGGAGCTAAGACATAAATGTGCCATCTATTACCTGCCCAAGTTCTCAGTGTCTGGACTGACCAGGTACATAAGGTTTCTGAGCGTATGCAGTGGATGCAATAGATCTAAATTTACATGCTAGAAAAAAAAGAGAGAGGAGAAAAAAAACCTAGTTACTGAAGGCTACTTACAATGGCAATTGTTATTTTAAAATATATGCAAAAAATCTAAATATGTATTCACCAGACCTGGGAAAAACAAAGATAAAGGATATTGGCATTCAGCTTCTTCACTGCCCGGGTAAACTTCCGCCTGCTAAGGTTCTCGCCGCAGAACTCACTGTTAAAAAACACACACACGCACAAACTGAAAAGCTGTGGACGGTGCCTTGAATCAATCACTTGATCTCTGTTCCATAGTATGCTGCCTTGGCTTGCAGCCACAGAAACACCCCCGTGTTAAACATTTGTTTATATCAATCAAAGGACCCATGTTGGGAGCATTTATCAGCCCATATCTCCTCACCTTGCAAGCTCACTAGTTTTTAACGAGACGATACCTATTTGGGGCCAGATTCTGCCCACCTTACTCCTGTGAAGAGTGCCACTGGCTTCAATAAGGGGAAACATTCTGGCCAGAGTTTCTCTTAGCAGCTGAAACGTCTGCCTGTAAATACTGGAAAAGTCTCCTTAGCTTTTGGTTCAGATTGCTGCAGGGTTAACTGAACCCCCACTGGCCTACCTAGATTAACTGAACTCCACGCAGCGTGCTAGATAAGGAGCCCATTTGCTCTGCAAAGACATTAAAGGCTCAATGGTACTTCTGAACATATTTCAAGTCTGCCTAGTGCTTCCCTCTGGTTTGGCTCCCCACCCCAGACATGGCTGCATTGTAGAGGTAGAGTGTGTATTCTATAGCTCCATGCTGCAGCCCTCTCTCAACATGATCAATATTTAGTCATCTGACCAAGTTATTGAATTGGGCCATCCTTCTGTGATGCCATGTGGGTTTCCTTCAGGATGAGCAGTGCTGTACTAATCCTATGTCATATTTCATTCCTAAACTGAGGTCACTGAATACTTGTAGTGAAAAGCTGCAAATCTGATCTATGCTGAAAACTCTGTGCTCTCAAAAACATTAACTGAGCTCCAAGCTCCTATTAGTTCTCCCAAAGACAAGTAAGTTGCACAAACATGTACATGTAAAGCCACTACAAAACAGCCAGGCTAGGTAACAGCTTTTTCTAGGATATACTCACAGAACAGAAGCGACTAAAGCCAGCTGAAAATTGGTCAGCAATTCAGCTTCTTAAAAATGTAGAACTACTTACCTGTTACACAACTTCCTGGGAAGATTTACATCAAGTATATGAGACAAAATATTGACAAGCTGAGTTGCATAGCACAAGGCAGCACTGATGGTATAGGCAGGATTACTATGCTCCGTATCTAAAAGAAATAAAGAAATAGGACATTAACCAGAACAACCGTGATTTGACTAATGAAACAGACGCCAAGACAGCATTATTTCTTGATATTCAGAACTTCAGCAATCCGGCCATCTAGTTACAATAAACTGCCAGGAATTGGTAAAAAACAGTCATACTCAGAATAAATTATTACGTTTGCTCTACAGCATGTAAACCACGTCAAGGCTGTTAACAACAATGGACGCTGTTTCTCTTCTATTACAGTGCTGTATTACCGATCTCACTGGGGCAGTGATGGGCAACCTAGGCTAGTGAGTGGACCCCTTGATCTCAGCAGGCCATGTGATGGTCGTAACGAAGACAGTTTCCAGGAATAGGGGTAGTTTTGCTAATTGCGTAGCTGGAATTAGCAGGGTGTGCCTACTGAATTATAGCAGCGCTCTGATTGGATACAGAGAGACTGCACAGCTCTCACAGTGTTGTGTGCAATCAGCACGCATCTCACTTCATGGGCCCTTGCTTTACGTGCGTCACGTTAGTTATACCAGGAGGGGGAAAAACAACACAGATGGAAACTGGCAGAATCTGGCAACCCTGCAGGTGGGCAACATGTCTTGTGGGCCACACATGGAGGGAACCCTAATGGGCCACAGGCTGCACACCACCACATTAGCGCCTCACCACCAGAAGAGAATTACAAAGGTTTGCTCCCTTTATGAGCAATCCTTCATCTCATTAGGACTGTGGCAAAAAGGCTCATTTGCAGCTACAAATCTGCACAAAGCAAAGGAGGAAGTCTCAGTCCTAAAGCACCTTCTGCTGGCTGCACAGCTTAAAGTTCTACAGACAGCCAGATCACCGAGGAAGTCAATAAGACTGTTACTTACCTGGTCCTTGTGTAGTTTTTTTCTCTTCCACCCAATTGTAATAAGCTGAATAGTCTCCATTATTAGGAAGACTTATCCAAGGCCCTGCAATGCTGATGCTGGTCTCCCCATTGTGATCATCACACACCCATCTCCCAGAGAGATACGTAGTTCTCCTGGCTTCTGCAAGCTTGCTCACAGTGCTAGAGGTCATGGCATTGTCACTCTCAGAAGAAATATCTGCAGGGTCTCTGAAAAACAAACACAGACACACAGTTACAAAGGATTTCTGGAGTTCTATATAATACCGGCCATGTGTTTGGCAGCCATTTAGCCACATACACAGAGAGCAAAATTCATAAAACAATAACCTGCAAAAATCTCTGCTACCAGGACACTTTTTTTTTTTTTTTGCATCATTTGTACAAAGATCCCAGTTTTTTGGTTAAATCTTCCGGTATGTTTTATTGGCTGGATCTATAAAGGTTCCTTTTATATATTTTCAACTTTCCAAATTGTGGTCAATGTGGTAAAAGAACATATTCCCTGTCACAAACCTAATAAAATGTGTAGCTGCTAGTTGTGTTGGGTGCTTCTCTACCAAGCCCAGGGCTCCAGTTCGGCATGTCACATAAGTACCTGCCAGACTAATTACATGAGTCCTCTCATCGATTTAAATGGAGCTATTCGTGTCCTTCAAGTTGGGCACATGGTTAAAAACTTTGCTGAAGTGGGGCCTACGCAATGACTTATTACTATGGGGAGAAGAGCAGTGTTCCCTGTAAGCTGTGTACTTGGGTGGCCAACCAGGAGAGATTCAGGTGCTGCCCAGCTGATTAACACAGCACCCACCGCTGGCACTATGTATTTCTATGAGTGGTGCACATCTCTACAAGCTTTGGTACACATAATGAATAGTAACAGAGAGGTAGGCCGTGTTAATCTGATCTTGCTAAAACAAAAGGAAAAACTATGTAGCACTTTAAAGACTAACAGGATGGTTTAATAGGTGATAAAAATATGGAACGCTTCACGAATGGAAAAAATTAGAGGGAACATTGGTAAAGGTCAGAACAAGTCAAGTACTGAAATACACTCTTATGTTGCTTTGGAAAAGAAAGACATTTAGAATGTAATATTAGACGATCGTGTTAGAATTAAGTGTATAATCCACTGATGCTTAATATCCCCAATCTGGCAGTTTGTTATACTAGGACCACACGATACAGACCAATACACAGAAAGCAAATCCATCAACTTGTGCTCATGTTTTCTGCCCTTAAAAAAAACTAACCAAAAACAAAAAAACACCTGTGTATTCCAAACCTCATGCTAGTCTTCACTTCCTCAATGGGAAAAATGACAGACGTTAGCTCCAGTATATGTGACCGTCGAAGATTTGCCAAGTGTTCGTGCTGACTTCTCAAATCATAATTTTTCTTCTCCACCAGGTCTCCCAACTTGCGGTTAAGTCTCTGGATCTTCTCTTTCTTCTCCTGATGCCTCTGGGCCCTGCGATAAAGCTTCTGATTCTCATCTTTAACTCTGAGAAGCCCCTCCGAGCCTATGAGAATAACAACACACATCAGTGGTGTAACTGTCGCTCAGATGGAGGCTTTATTAGTAGCGCCAGGGGCTAGATCTGGCTTGCCGCTACCCTGCCCCTCCCCTGCCCCAGGCCAATCGAGACCTGGTGACACGGGAGCGGGTGCAATGTCTCCTCCCTTGGCCAGGAGCCTGTGGCACCAGAGGGAACTACCAGCTCTTCAAAATGGCCCAGGGGTGGGGAGCACGCACTGTCTCTTGCCACCACCAGGGGCACATGGCAGCTAGAGGGAACTGCCAGTTGTCCAAAACAGCTGACGGTTCTCTCTAGGCACAGGCAGGGTGAGAGGCAGACTTCATGTGCTCTCCCACCCCCAGGCCAATCAGGGTCTGCTGGTGGGGGAAGCACACAGAGTCTCCAGGCCTTGCTCCTTCCACCTGAGGCCTTGCCCCTTCTGGGGCAGCCTGAGACCACTTCTGAAATTCATGAAGTGCCCCCCCCCCCAAAAAAAATTATTGCCCACCCCTGTATTAAAGTCATCGAGTTTAAGACCAAGAAAGGACCACCCAATCCTCTAGTCTGACTTCCCGTACAGCATAGGCCTCCAAGGCCAGTACATTAACTCAACAACCAAAACTACACCAAAATGTCACAGCCTACAGGAGACTGAACTATTGTACATGCCACAGATAGAGAATAGGAGGGGCTGAGGTGTACCAATGCTTATAGCCTCTACAATGGCAAGGAACTGAAAGTGAGATACACACAAATTATAATTAAAGGTCTAGAAAACATGAGCTAGGAGAGAAGACTGAAAGAACTGGGCTTGTTTAGCTTAGAAAAGAGAAGACTGAGAGGGGACCTGATAGCAGTTTGCAAGGATCTAAAAAGGTGTTACAAAGAGGAGGGAAAAAAATTGTTCCCCTTGGCCTCTGATGATAGGACAAGAAGCATTGGGCTTAAATTGCACCAAGGGAAGTTTTGGTTGGATGTTAGGAAAAACGTCCTGTCAGGGTGGTCAAACACTGGAATAAGTTGCCTAGGGAGGTTGTGGAATCTCCATCACTGGAGAGATTTAAGAGCAGGTTGGACAGACATCTATCAGGGATGATCTAGAGGGTGCTTGGTCCTGCTCTGAGGGTAGGGGACTGGCCTTGATGATCTCTCGAGGTCCTTTCCAGTTCTAGTGTTCTATAATCCCAGCTTTCATGCAGTAGAGGAAGCAGAAAAATACCTAAAAATTCCTTACTGGCCCCACATATGATCAGTTAGACTCTGGGCATGTGAGCAAGAACCAACATGTGAGACAGACAGAATGCTTGGTGTTACCCTCAAAGCACTGGTCTATCCCTTCCAGTGTCCGTTCTCAAGTCAGGGCCATCTCTGATGCTTCAGAGACCAAACCCTCCACCCCACCCCGAATTCGCATGGCTGGGGGGGGGTTCGGGTCCCTTCCTGATATTTATATAAACCAGATATATGGCAGCTTTTTTCAATTTGCTTAACAGATCCTCCCTGCAAAGTGCTACATTTTCTGAGCGTCTATAAAGAACAGCTTGAAATGGATGTTGAGCTTTTATACCTTCTGCCCAAGTATTTTCTGGACTTTGAGCAGGAAT